GTAGATAGGAACGAAGAAGTATAATACAATAGCACTGATAAGCCGATGCATACGCCGAGGAAATATAGACAATGACGGTATTCAATGAACAATAGATAAATAGATAAGAACAATGGGGCGCTAATGACGGTGGAGGCCCTCACCGGATATCAATTAGATAAGAGTTAATTGATCTGCACATCTCCGGAACCGTGCATCCTACGCAAAAACGGACCGCGGATTCGTGATCAAAGCATGCCAAAACCTTCTTGTTTTTAGGATCGTGAGTCGACGAACGTTGTACCACGTCTGACTCAGTGAGCCAGAAGGGGTACTACCTATCTTCTGCCTTATATGAGTGCTCAAGGCCACTCAGCGAGCTATGGAGAGGGCTATGCTCGGGGTTCCTCTGTGTGGTAAACTTAGAAATGAGGACAGTATTATTACAGGCTATGAGACTGATTTATTTTTATTTAATGCCGAAAAACGTTCACTTTTTTGCACAGAATATACGAGTATAATAGTACTACGTAGTCAAAGTAGGTAATAATATATTTTATTAAATTCAGGCTTATTTAAGTAGCAGCTATGAACCGTCTGCGTAGATTTTTTTATAGAACAAGGGTGACAAACGAGCACACAGTCCACCTGATGGCAAATGGATGATGTGACCCATAGACGTTTACATTTATTCTCAATTATGAATCAAAACGCAGATGCGTTGTCACCCTTGAGGACTAAGATGGAATGCCTCATTTCCATTAAAAAGGGTCTCCGGTTCTCTACATTCACCACACAAAACAATGCAGCATTAAGCTACTATTTTACGCTGGTAAGAACGTGGTCCTTCCCCGGTCGAGCCGACCCATTCGTGCAACAACCATTGTATAGCTGCATCATGGCTCTACCACGTATATTCATACCATCCTCTCACAGAATACCAGCGTCAAATAGCAGCTTAAAGCTGCTGTGTTTCGTATAGTGAGTGTAGAGAACCGGAGACCCTTTTTACTGGAAATGAGGCATTCCACCTTAGTCCTCATAGGTGACAACGCATCTGCATTTTGATTCGTAATCGAGAATAAATGTAGATGTCTATGGGCCACAGCAACCACTTACCATCAGGTGGACTGTGTGCTCGTTTCTCACCCTATCCTATAAAAAAACCCTCTTATATATTTCTGCCGCCAAGCAGCAGTATTTGAACTACTATGTTATGGTCTGAAGGGTCTGATAGCCAGTATAATAACAAGCTGAGAAGCATTCAGTCTTAGTTCTCAGAGGTGACAACGCATCTGTAGCTTTTGAAGTTGGAAGATGACCATGTCTACAGCAACCACTTACCATCAGGCGGACTGTATGTTCTTTTCACACTTCAGTTTTACAAAAATAAATCTTTATTATGTTCCCGTACGCGTGGAGAAAATAACATTCATGCTCATTTTCCTGCGGTAACTTTTACCATCTTGTAGTAAATATATCCCATGTATTAATCCAGAATATGGCCTACCTGTCGAATAACATCTAAATCCGTTTCGACGTCTATATTTATGCGAATTACACAAGTGGTAAAATTAAAAACTTTGTACAACCGGCTTCAATACGACTGAATCAATGTATTCGAAGTCAATTAAATACGCATTATTTAAGGATAACTCAAAAACTACTGGTCTGTTCTTGATTAAATTTATATGGGATCACACGAGAGGCACCAGCTTATAAATAAAAAAAACAATCATCAACGGTTCACGCATAAAAAGTTCTGAGGTAACACACGTTTAAAAAACATACAGTCGAATTGAATACTTTCTCCTTTTTGAAGTTGGTTAAAAATTAGGAAATTAAGCTTTTTTTATATGCTAAGTGATAAAACGAGAACACACTCAAACTGATTTAAGTAGATGCTATGGCGTATGACCCATAAACACTACAGGTGTAATGAAAGATGTTGTTTCCTGTAAAGAACCTCTTCGCGATTCCAGGTTTCACCATGCGAAACACAGCAGAATGAATAAATACATTTCAGTCTTCCCACGTCCCACTGATGCGTATGTTCAATTTTGAGAAAGTGATTGTTTTGTGCACAATAATCACATTTCAGTAAATTTACAAAAAGTACTTTCAAGTACTCCAACGTTGCCTTGATAACAAAAAATGTGTATACAACCTAAAAAGCAATTAAGGTAATTAGTTTGCTTTTTTAATTTTAACCCAACTAATATTCGTATTTGTTCGGAATTCGATTCGATGGCTTAGTACCGCAGTGGAGCTAAGCGATACTCTCAAGTACCTACGAGTATATATAAATGAGACCTGCCTATCCGTGTCGACCACGATTGATCATTTTGATTTGCTCACAATGGTTCATAGCCCGGACGCACGTAATTACCTAAAATAAACATATAGCATATAGATAAGATCAGCCGATCTCGTTTTTTTCCGTTGTGAGTAATTGATATAAAGAATAGAAGTAGAGAATTGTTTGCAAAACAAAATTTGTCTAATATTAGAGTTATTACTTTCCTATTTATAATGCAACAAAATTATGGCACAAGGCATCATTTCAGTTGGTATATATTACGTATTAGAACAAGAGCAGATCCGGGAACAAAATATATGCGGCAGTGTGGGGGCGTGGTAGCAGGCAAAGAGTACCTTTTTATAACACAAACTAAGAAAGTTTGAGCCCATGGACTCTTTTATAAACAAGGAAGTCTCGTCGTCTCGTATGGCGGCTGACACGTATGACACGCTCGTCAAGACACCACGAGACAGGCCGAGTACGAGTGTGTATATGTTATACATGCTTTCGTCTCGTCTCGTGGCCCTCGCGCGCTCTCGGAAGCGTGTCGGTTTTTTGCGCTCAAGCCAAAGGGTCTCGTGAGTCTCATGATGTAATGAGAGCGTACTATATTATATTCACCGTACATGGTTCAATTACGATAAATAGAAACCATCCACCATCTTCTTCTTCGCCGTGGTTTATTAATTTTATGGTAAATGTGTAAAGTTATAATAACTAATAGCACAAAGGCAAAACGCAGCAACAGTTTCATCTACGTCCATCTCAGCGGGAATACGGAGTTCAAATGATACAACGAGTGTGTACATGGTGCGTTCTCGTGTCGAGCCTCAACACGACGAGAGGCACGCGATGCGATGAGACGAGCGTGTACAGCTGGCATAATATTAGCCCCATTCTGAGAACAAATTCTAGCTATTTCCGTTTATAGATTACGAATCTGCAATTGTTTTCCGTATTTTCCGACCCGAAATTCATATGCCAACAGTTGTATCATGCTGGGTCCATCATAACTCAAGCACATTTGTGAAGCTCACAATTGTATCAAGGTGGGCCCTACCTATCTGTGTTAGTTTTTATTAAACGAGGGAAAATAAGTACAGTACACATAAGAAATATTTAACACTTATTAGAAAAATACAAAGTAGTTCAACATTTCTTATATGGAGTGTAGAAGTAAAGAGTACAGACTGTGTATTAAAAAGTGTTCATAGAAAACGGTTAAATAAGGGTGGCGCCACTATAACTACGGGGTAAATTTTAAAGAATGCACCGAAAAATATTAGTGGGATAGACGACTTTTTCGAGGTTATATTAACTAAATAAAATTATTTTAGATTTTAGAGCTACTGAGCAGTTTAGCAGCACACTTAAACCGTCGACAACTGCTAAGTTCATTTCATCCCAGTAGCTACTCCAGCGCTGTTGTGGAGAGTTTTTGAACCGTTATTTACTGCTTGCAGATGGCCATTTTTTCAACTATTCTACTATGGGAGTTGGTACTCCTCACTTCTACACGCCATAATTTCTTAGAAATTTGTCTAAGAGATTAATAAACACACGTAATGAGATCAATTTTCTCTTACAATTACTTAGACTTATTTTAGTCTTTTTATGGAAATCAAAGAAGCAATTACGGTCTTTGATAAGACATAAATAAATTACGCATTTTGTGCAACGACAGCGACTTCGGCTTCTGCAGCCTAAAGCACGACAGCAACGAGTTTGCTTCAAAGTGTCGAAAATAAGAAAGTGGTTAAAGCCGTCATTCAGCAAACTCCAACTCGTCTCTTTTTCTCTTTCTTGGAGGACCATTCAGGAAGTGGTCACTGATAGACATCCGGAACGATAGCAAGTCCATGACGTCTTTAGATTTGTGGTTATTGGCTTTACAGTCAGCTCGATATTCAAACCAGAAGTTTACTATGGCTAAATAAAACATGTGGGGAATTGACTGCAAAACATTCACATTGACAGTCCACTTTTTGGATTTACGCCATGTGCGATAATTCTCCATCATTTGATTGTACACATCCACACCACCCGTGTAAGTATTGTAATTTTTTACCATGGCTGGACATGAAACCTGAACGTATTGCTTCCTCTTTTTATCCCATCTTGAAACTTGGGTTCGTGGCTCGGCTCCAAAATCTGTTGAAACCATGAGCACTCCTTTGTAGTCTTTCCATTTAACGATGCTGATAGTATTATCACAATTGACTGATTGATAGCCTGATCTTTCCCTCCAGTCACCCTGTGGTCCTTTTTAAAATCAAATTTAGTTTTCTTTTTAGTATTGAACCGATTAACCATCAAAGTTGCTGTACTCTCTATTTTCCATTTTAAGAACTCGTTCATCAAAGGGATTGAGGAAAAATATGGATCGAAATAGAGGAAGCTTCCTTCAAGGAGTGAAATAGCTAAACGCAACACGACATCAGCTCCGACGCCAAATGATTCCGAATCAGGTAAGTTTGTCGTATTACCTAGATAAATTTCGAAATCCAATACTAGTCCCTTGTAGTCATTCAAGACGAAATTATTTAATCCTGCTGGACGAGGCTTAGTTTTTACAACTACCTTCAACCCTACGCAACGACCGTCAAAAGATATCATCTGTTCATCTATTGAAAAATTACCAGCATTTCGAGGCATCTCAAGGCATGTTTCGGACGTGTTTTGACGTTGTTTCGGTCGTTGTTGATTGTACGTATTGGCTTTAATCACCACAGATGTTCTTTGCATATTCTTCAGACTGATTCACAGAGGTAACGTCTAACACAAGCAGGTTTGTTTTGAGAAGAAAGAACCGCTCCCTAGACATTGTACTCGGTTCATACTTGAATATCTCGTTCCAATATATCTTCAGTCTTGGAAACTTTATAAATCCAACCATAGCATGAATCCCGAAAAACTTTTTCATATCTGCTAAAGTACAAACAAGTTTCATTTGTACACCAGTATTGACCATGTAGTACAGACTAGTGGACAAAGCAATTTGCTCAAAATGTTCTACAGTAAAAATACCCTTCAAAATATTCTGCTGGCGTGAGGATATCACCTGTAGGACGGGCAGCATCTTGCGGAACAGATTTGAAATACTTCTTTTGGCGTCCTGCTATATGACTCTGGGGAAAGTTGTCATCTTCATCGCCATATCAGTCTGATGATGAGAAGCCAGAACTTTCGATGTCCTCTTCAGCAGCACCGTCCAGATCGTCTACCTCATCATTATCATCACCATCGTCTCTAGAATCGTTAAGTGTTTCTGTAATAGATTCATCACTCACAATGACGGACATTGTTCAGAACCTCTGAAAATATAAAAAATTGTCATTAGAAACCAATCGAACATTTTAGGTTATGTATAGGGCCCAAGGTAATACAATTGTGTTAGAAAAGTGTGTTAACCACGTTAGACCAAAAATAATTCTCGCCGAGAATGATAACTAACAATAAAACATCATATATTTTTCTATTTAACTAATCATTAACACATAATTTCACTGCACTTGCAAAATAAATGAAATATGACTCTCACTATCGCCAAATCAGGAAACGTATTTCTTGACTATCTGAACAGGTTAATTACTGCTCGTCGATTGACGAGCCGTCCAAAAATAAACCCCCACAATTGTGTTTTTTTTTTCGTTCCCATCTAGGCAGACGTTTTACATTCACCCAACTCATTATAATAGATATTCGGTTTTTTTTTCAATCCACCTGACAGTAAATGGAAGCTGTGGCACATGGACATCCCAATAAGAATCAAAATGCAGATGTGTTCACCCCTGTGGACTAAGATGAAACGCATCGTTTCCAGTAAGTACTCATCATGCGAAACACAGCAACATTAAACTGCTATTTCACGGTGGTATTCTGTGAGAGCGTGACAATACCCCTGTCGAGCCGACGCAGTCATGCTACAACCATAATAATATAGATGCAGCGTGGCTTTACAGCATATAAAAGGTGCACTTATCTTAGAGAATTTAAAGATACCCGGCTTAAATATCAGCATACAACTTTTTTATCTAATGAATGCAATGACAAAAATGACAACGTACACTAAAAATAAGAAAAGAAACAGCAAACAGTTTGTTATAAATATGTTGGGTTTCAGCAACGAAAAAACATCCAAAGATTTAACTCAGCATGCTGTAGCAGTGTTTCTACAGTCACGTGGATGGAATCATATATCTCAGATCCAAATTTCATTACTGGCAATACACCACTTTCATACTCCACACATCTTCAATCAAGATGTAAGTCACCAAAAGTATATCCTTCACAGGCTAGATAGAGATGATATTATTCCTCGCTATAATTAGCGCCTGGTATGTGGCGGCTGATTAGTAGCACCATCTGGTATCAAGCAGCATAAATAGGAGCGTCAAGATCTTTCTAGAACACTCCCACTAGCGCCATCTAGTATCGAATTGAAGAACTAAGCGTTCTAGAAAGCTCCACACTCGAACTTTCTGCACTTGGTCGGTCGGAGGCCGGTATTTGCTGGAATTCCGGATGTTTCGGTGAAAAAGGCCTATATAAAGCCGTTGAAGGCCGCGATTGGGGCAGTATTGAATTGGCGATACGAGCGAAGCTTTCGAAGTGAAATAAAGTGAACTAAAGTGTTAACTGTGAATAATTATTAGTGTGATTAAAGTTTTAATTGGTTTTCAGTAATTAGTGTCAATTTTGGTAATTCAATCAATCAAAAAAGCGGTTTTTATTGTCACGAACCTTAAGCTCGTAACAATTGGTGTCAGAAGTGGAATCAAATCATGCCGATTTTACCAAAGGAAGACACGGAGGGTGTCCGTACCCAAAGTCAACGCCAGCAGGAGACGGACCAGAGAAGATTTGATGTTGCAACGCCGCAGACGTCGGAGGGCCAACTGCCAGCCACGGAGGCTGGCTCGTCAATAGCTCCTACATCTGCAGCACCAGACTTAGGTGCTCTCATGATGATGCTGAAGGAACAGGCTCGCCAGCAGGCGGAACAGGCACGCCGATCGAAAGAGCAGCTGCGGGGTGGACAAGAGGAACAGGTCCGTTGGTTGAAATAGCAGCAGGAGGAACAGGGCCGCCTACAGGAGGAACAAGCCCGTCGCTTAGAAGAGCAGCTCAAACGCGATAAGGAAGAGCAGATGATTCTCATGAAGAACCTTCACGCTACCTTCGAGAAAGAGATAAGGGAGGTGAAGGATAAGGTTGCTCAACATGATAACCGCCTGTCAGAAACTGAGACCCAAATCAACCAAGTTAAGAAAACGCTGCGCTGGATGAACTCAAACTTGGAGATGGGATTACAGCTCCCGTAGTAGCTACAACACCTTCGCTACGTGGATTCAAGGTGACGCCGTTCGACCGGACTTCTTCATGGTCGGCCTACAAAATCCAGTTCGGATATTTCATGGAGGCGAACGGCTGGAATAAAAGTCAGGCCATGACTGCACTCACCCTAGGCCTGCCCGACCAAACCTTAACTGTGTTGGAAGCTCTCGGTAAGAAAGTGACATACGAGCAGCTCCTTGAGGCATTGGAGGCGAGATATGGCGACGCTCACCTAGAACACTTCTTTCGTGCGCAGCTTAAATCCGGCATCCGCGACCATCATGTCAGAGCTGCTGTAAGGCTCGGGCACCACGTGACGCTTAAGGAAGTCTTGGCCCATGCACTTGAGGTTGAAGCCGTGCGGCAGAATCATCGTTCCCATCACGTCAGGGAGGTTGCAGCAGCCACAGTTCGTGACCGCAATAATGGATACAGCCCTAGGTGCTATGGCTGTGGAGAAAGGGGCCATCTTCGATCCAGCTGCCCTAAGCGAACTGTAGAAAGGGAAGGTGATCGATCTCGAGGGGGTAGTACGGCTAACGGCACCGCCCGGCAGTGGCAGGATCATCCATCTCCTCATGTTAGGGAGGTTGCAGCACCTACAGTTCGCGACCACAATAAAAGTTACAGCCCAAGGTGCTACGGCTGTGGGGAAAGGGGCCATCTTCGATCCAGCTGCCCGTCTTTAAAAAGGGAAGGTGATCAATCTCGAAAGGGTAGTGTGGCTAACAGCACCGCCTAGCAGCAGCAGAAATACGACTTTACTATCGAACACTGCAGCGGGAAATGGCATGGCAATACAGATGCTGATGATTGCAAGAATAGTACTAGGCAAGAGGGTAACGATGTGGTATCTGTGAGGATTCTCAGGACAGACCACCTCAGCAAATAATGGAAGGACAGCTTACAACATGCACAGCAGGAAGATCCGGACATCAAGCCGATTCTGAAAGCGATGAAGGCCAGTGTTCCCAAGCCCAAGTGAAGCGATGTCTCAGCGATGAGCTCGACCACGAAAAGCTATTGGGCCTAATGGGACAGATTGCTGCTTCAAGATGAAGTTTTATGCCATAAATGGGAAAATGATCGGGGAGACCGCTGTCAACTGTACCATAATGATTGTTCGGGAGGCCATCTTGGAGTTAAACGAACACTACTGAAGATCCGAGAACGGTTTTACTAGGTCCACTGTCGAGACGATGTCCAGGACTAGTGTCGCAAATGTACAAGTTGTGCAGCTATAAAGGGATCTCAGACCCGTAGTAGAGGTGCATTGAAGTTGTACAATGTAGGTGCACCATGGGAGAGAATAGCCATTGACGTGGCGGGGCCATTTCCGAATAGTGAAAATGGTAACAAGTATTTCATGGTTGTGATGGTTACTTCACTAAGTGGCCAGAAGTATTCGCCATTCCAAATCAAGAAGCTTCAACAGTTGCAGATAAACTAGTTCATGAAGTCTTCTGTCGTTTTGGAGTACCTTTAGGGATTCACAGCGACCAAGGAAGGAATTTTGAGTCTCAAATATTCCAGGAAACTAGCCGAGTTATGGGTACTCATAAAACGAGAACGACTTCTTACCACCTACAATCTGATGGAATGGTAGAACGATTCAATCAGACATTGGAGAAGTACCTAGCGAAAGTTGTAGATAATCGGCAACGTGATTGAAACAAGCACATCAGTGACACCAGCTTTCGCAAACTTTGGAAGAGAATTACGGCTGCCTGCAGACCTTATCACCAGGATAAAACCTGATGACCCACGCAGTATAACCGATTATGCAAATGACTTGCGGAACAAAATGATTGACATTTATGAGCACGTCAGACAATTAGGCCAGCAAATGTCTGAAAAGATGAAAACCCGGTAGGACCGCAAAATTAACAACAAAGTGTTCGACGAAGGTTCACTAGTGTGATTGCACAATCCGGTCCGCAGTAAAGGGAAATCTCCTAAGCTTCAAGCTAAATGGGACGGCTCGTACCGGATTGTGACCAGGATCAACGACCTTACCTACCGGATACAGAAAGGCGCAAGAGATACTCCTAAGATCGTCCATGTGGATCGACTGGTGCGTTACTATGGGGTCGATAATGCTCGGGACGAGCATGTCTTAGGAGGGGTCAGTGTTGCGCGCTATAATTAGCGCCTGGTATATGGCGGCTGATTAGTAGCGCCATCTGGTATCAAGCAGCAGAAATAGGAGCGTCAAGATCTTTCTAGAACACTCCCACTAGCGCCTTCTAGTATCGAATGGAAGAACTAAGCTTTCTAGAAAGCTCCACACTCGAACTTTCTTAGCGGTCAGCAGCCGTAGAGTCTACATCACCTGAGGATGCTTCGTGTAGAGGCGAAACACGTGTCGTATTGTCGTCGATGGTGTGTCTTACCTGGAATAGTGGTGTTGGAAGTAGTGGTGCCGGGAGTAGTGGTGTTGGGAGTAGTGGTACTGGGATTTGTGGTGACGGAGTTAGTGTATGCAATTGAGGGAGGGCGGGAGGTGCTATTCAATCCAGGTAAGATACATCATTGTATTTAGTTAGCGGAAGGTTGTGAAGTAATTAATATTTTTATTAGAACTAGCTTTCAAGTTCGATTTGAGTGAGCTGACTCGAATCTTTATTTTTTATGTTTGTTAAATATGATTAAACGTTGACTGAATATTACCCTGCTACACATTTAAAATAAAATTAAAATAAATTTTAGTTGATATTTTATAGCTTTCTTCTTATTTTAAAT